GCTGGCGGGCGGGGAGGGGCCGCGGGGGCTGGGGGAGCGGCGCGGGGAGAGCCGAGACCCCGCGGGGCCCGCACCGCCGAGCCGCCGGCCGCCCTGCCTCAAGTGAGCCCCTGACCGGGCGTTTGCGCTGCGGTGGGCAAGAGCTGCGTCTTCTGTGCGGGAAAGAAAACGAGACGCCAACCAGTGAAACGGCGTTCGGGCAGGAACGGCAGCCCCATAGCAAAACTCTGGATCTTGATAGATTTTTGTATGAGATCCCAAATAAGGTACCATAATTCTCACCCCTGATGATATGTCACGTCACTCCGATGGCCGAGGTTTAGCTGGTCGGTGGTATGTAATGCATGGGGTGAAAGCCAGGGTGGCTGCATCTCCCCGCTGCTGAGGGTTGATACCTTGAGTAAAGAGGAATGATGCCTCTTTTACAACGAGACATATTTCAATTCCTTTCAAATATTTAGTGCTGTTTCCTGCCAGGGAACACGATAAAGATTAGATTAACGCTGCTCCAGCTGTATAGAAATTTTAGGTACCTGTCATTCAAAATTAAATAGATTATTTCCTAAGAAAGCAACCTGTGCTAGGGAATGCAGGTGTTTTGGTTCTGAAGATAACTGAGCTTTGTTCTATCATCTTAACACTACCAGTGTCCTTCTGATGCCTCGTCAGTTTTTTAAATAGCTCAAGAACACAGTTGTTTTGACTTTTAATTAAAAAGAGGCGGCTCAATTCACCAGAATTCCTAAGGAGTGCTAGAATGACAAGTCTCTTTTCCAGACATAAATCTGAAAAAGGCTTTGCAGCTAAAGCAGAATTAAAGCTTTTTCTCTTAAACTTCACTTGATGAATTTCATTTCCAAATTTGGCACAGTTGTTCTCTGGAGGACAATTGAATTTTCTAGGTCATTTCCCAGATGAAATAACTTATTACTTTTCTGGAAACTTATGTTAAATGATTCAAAGCTTGATATGTGAAATCCAGCAAATTAAAAGTATTTCTCTGTAAGAGATGTAAAGTCAAATGGTTGAAGTACAGTATATTCTGGCCCACTAGCATCTTTGCCCTATGCCACCTGGGTATCGGATCTGCACAAAACACTTCTGAGTAGCTAATTGCATCTGGACAGGAATTTGCAAACTGTGCCTACGGGTGATCTCACAGGACTTAACTGGGTTGAGTTACAGGTAGCTGAGCAGAGCTCAGGGGTAGGCTTCTGCTTCCTCATCCCTGAGCTAGAACAGATGGGATGCAGAGCCATGCGGGAGAGGAAGAGGTCAAGTGGATCTCTACCGAATGCCAGTGACGATTAGCATTTGGCCTCTGCCTGTGCTGCTGGGTGGTGGTAGTCCTTGACGGATGGTGTAGTGGAGTTCTTTATATTGTATTCACGTTGGGCTACCATTTGAACTGCTCAGTGTGTGTCTTACCTTGTTCTTGTTTCCTAGGCATGATCTGCATCCCAGCCATGTTCTGGTTTCCCTATCATACCATATGTAGCAAGCTCTGGATGTGTTTATGTTGTTCTTCCTTGGAGCTGTAATTAGAAGCACTGAGCACGTGGCTGACCTGCTCTGAGCTGAATGTGCTGTACCTGCTGTTGTCATTCCTCCTCCTCAATGTGGCATGGCCTATCAAAGGAATGAGCTTGCCCTAGATAGAAAAAACAAAGCCATTTTTATCTTAAAATGCCCGTAAGGGCCCCAAAACTGGTACTTATATGTGTTAATCACAGAAAGCGGATGGAAATCTGGGAGCACGTTCAGAAGTTGCGTTACTTAGCTGTCCCTGTGGTGAGAAGGACACTGTCCCAATAGGCAAGCATCCATCTTTTCCAGCACTGCTGCTAGAGGCAGTTTTCCCCCTGGCAGTTTGACAGAAGACTGAGCTGTTGCCTATCAGTAGTTCTGAGTTAGAAGTGTGGTGTAGAAATGGCTGTATGGAGGACCTGCATGGCAACTGCCAGTGAAAAACTTCTCTGAACTAATCCGCTACAGTACTAGAGAGGATTAAAGACATGAGAAGCAGCTTTCCCTGGTTTCAGTCCCATTGATGGTTCTGCTAGTTATCACAGTTACTGAATGGGCACATCTGAGGCCCACTCAGGACAAGTGATAGGAGATACAACTTCAAGGCCAGTATTTTCAGGCAGTCTCTTGTTCTGGATGCCTGGTTCAACTTGCTTGGGGCCTCATTTTCAGAGGAAATGAGCACTTACGCAGCAACTCAAGTAGGGCACCCAGAATAAGAGGCCACTTTTGAAAATGTTGGCAAAGGCATTTTGTTTTATCTCTGCACTTCATTAGTCTTATCCCCAAAGTCTTTCATGTTATGTTCTACAGTGAAAGGTCATTGTTTCAGATCAATCATTTTCAGTGGGATTTAATCCAGTTCTAAGTCAAACTAATCCACTTTGGTAAAGTTTGAAGAGCAGTAAAAATTCATTTGTTAAGACAGATCTGGGCTTATTTTTTAAACGTGGCTGTTGATGCTGAGTCCTTAATTGTGTATGCCCAGCATGAGGTGTCTTTGGGGTGGTTCTGGAAATGCTGGACATCTAAATTCTGATCTTATCTGTAGGCGGCAAATGCTCAGCACCTCCAAAACCCTTGGGATTTAGTAGGATCAAGGTTTTTCTGTTTGTTTTGGTTTTTTACTTTTAGTATGTGCTTCACCTAGGATGGGTTTTTTCATCTTACATATAGAGCCTTTTTTCAACATGGTGCTCTGGTGACAGCTTCTGATAAGCAGGCTTTTTCATGTTTTCCTGTTTATGCTTGTGAATTCTGGTTACTTTCCTCTGATTACATAAAGAATAAAAACACTTTCTTATGTCTGGACAGGATTAGCAAACACTGTGGTCTGAAGCAGCTCATAAAGAGTTAAAGCTGGTTTCAATTAGCTACTGTGTTCTTGCCACTTAAAGAAACCTCCACAACTGAGCATGCTTCACAGCCTCCTGTGCATATCCCTGAATCATTCTGGCAAGTAAAAACACTGCCATAATCTTTTATTCAGACATAGTGCTTATTCCTCACTGGACTCTGAAATGAGCAAGCGCTTGAAAATAGCACATTTTGCCAGAGAGTTCTGAGGATTTATCAAGTCGTGTCTGCACAGGATTTTGAACATGCAAAAGGCTACTGTGTGTGAATGCTGAGTGATATTAAATACACTGCAGTTATCCCAAATAGGTTATGTCTGTATATTGAAACCTTCCCCATGAAGCAAGAGCTTCATAGGTTTTGTACAAATCACCGCCCTTTTGTTTTAAATATCTTCCCATATTGGTGAATAGATAGATAATTTTCTTTACTACAATTCACGTCATGAACCCTACTGCTTCTGAGCAGCTCTCAGGCAGTGTAATCTTTCTTCCTTCATTCTAGGTTTTACCTTTGAGTTATGAGGGAAGTTCTGTGAGAATGAATCAAGATTAATATGAAATTGAAATATGACAAATAGAATACTGTCACACACACTGTGACAGCCTAGAGGGTTCTGTTGCTTGTTAAGCTGTGCTGTATGGTTTGGTTAGAAATGTATCATTGAAATTATAGTCCCTTGCGGTTTGGGAGAGATTCATCACACTTCAGCTACACCCACTCCTATCTCGTGCTCTGATCTTGTCATTGGTTACAACACCTTTCCTCCCTGATGCGCAGTTATCTCACTTTACTGGAGGGATGTGCTGCCAGGATTCTAACAATAAAAATTACAGATACTCCTAAACCTGCGAAAGAATCTGTCCTTACAGCACTATCTGAGCATCATGCCCCACATAAGTGCCAGTCATGGTCTTTCCAAGATCCAATGCCCACAAAATCTTCATCATTCTTCCTCCACCATACTCATCTCTACTTCCTTTGCTGTGATGTGGAAGGTGGTTAACTTCCCCAGCAACTGGTAGTTGCTTCTGTTCTCTGTTTTTCAGTGTCTTGTCCCCAAGACTTTTATGATTCAGTGGTCCCTAAATAAAACATTTCCTTGCTGCAGCAAAGAGAGGGAAGACAGTTTGCTTCAGGGATGAGGAGACTTAATGGCAGGGACTTTGTAGTACCGCTGCTATAGTTCTAGGAGTCTCAGGAAGAGTGCTGCAGGAGGTGTGTGCTCCCTCACTGCTACCAGAGCGACCACAGGGGGAGGCTTTCCGCCCTGGGGAAAGGCTGGGAATGGCATAGTTTCCTTGTGGTGTTTCCTCTTCACCAATGTACTTGGTAGCTCTGTCCCCTCAGCTAAACATCAGCACTGGGGAGACACCGTCTGAGACTGCCTTGGTGTCCCCAGTGCCCTGTGCGGGGCCGAGCAGTGAACTGGAACAGCATTTCAGTGGGCAGCTATTTGTGGAACATTGGTGCTGTCCAATAATCAGCTGTGCCTGTGGAGCAGAGCCACCGCCTTAGGTCATGGGGCAATTTTCAGTACCATAAGTTTCTCCATCTACAAATTCTTGCTGGGTGTGGTCACTTCACCAACAACTCTCAATCCTGCCTCATGAGAGCAGCATTTCTGAGCTCCTGCCTGAGCTTTGCCGGGAATCTGGAGCTCAGTAAGGTCAGGCACGATGCCTGGCCTCTGAGCTTGGCTGAGTTCTCTAGTGTTTTGCCCCACCTTCAGCACTCTAGTAAAAGATCTGCTGACACTTCCATTTCCTTTTAATTTTTCTTTTTGAGACATTGTAACTTAGCTTATAGATATTGTAGCAGATTAAACTCATTGCGTGAGCTCTAATTTGGTTTTGTTTGTACCTCTGTAGGTCCATGGAGCCACTGTGACGGCTGAAGATCCAGACCACTAGGCACTGTGCGCACAGGAGGATATAGGTACTCTCCCACAGACCTTATATATGTGAAATGCAATCTCTTCCCTTTCTTTAGGTTACAGTCAGGCTATAGAAATGCTGCATGCAAGGTTGCCTTATTTTAGCATTTTTCCTTGCAACTTGTGGATTTAGACATGTACCTGATTTTAGAGCAATGAGGTTACATGTGACCTTACAGATTCAAGGTTAAGAATTTTTGAGATGCTTTAGACTGAGAAATAGCTATTATACAGAAGCTTCAATTAAACAAACCCAGAAGCATTTAATGAGAATGTTTTTGTGCGTGTACAGAGTTATCCATGTATACTTGGCAGATTAATGCAGATTGTCTGGTTCAGTGGGTGAATAACTGGTTTTAAAAATACTTTGTAATCTGTTTCCCTCGGGAGTCTGAAACTGCTGTACGAGACTAGAAAGCTTTTGGTAGACCCTACAAATTTTCAGAACTATTGGAACACTTTGCAGCCTGACTAATCTCTACTAAGAAGTTATTAGAACTGCAAAGTTTCCAAACTGGAGAAGTGTACTGGGCATTTGGGATTGGCCCATCTCTCACTATTCTTGCATAAGCATTAGGTACGTTAAAATTTGCATTTTTACATTGAATCATACATATTCAAGAACACATTCCTGTTGTTCATAGATAAAGCTTTATCCTTAGGTAAAATCAATGCAAGTTTTGTATTAATGATGATAATGAATTAGGCTGATCATTGGGATCTACCCTGTTCAGATTTTATGTGTCACTGCCTTCTTTTAGAAACAGTGAAAATGAAATCCTGTTAGGAAAGAGGCGCCATTCAGCTGCTGATACGTATGTATCTGTGCTTCACAGTTCTGCAAACAGCTATTTCCTGAATGTTCTGGCAATCAGTTTATAGCTTGCTACATATATATATATATATATATATATATATATATATATATATATATGTATATATACAATTTATATTTATTTGTCATAATATTTATGTTCTTTGAAAATCAGCAATAATCATCTAGTCCCTTTTAAAACTTAACTGCAGCATTCATTTTAAAGGGCTTTAGGGCTTAATGCACAAAAGCCAGCAATGTTAAAGGCTAAAAACTTTTGGCTGACACAATGGACTGGATTTACTCAATCGCGAGAGCAATGGGGACAGCGGGAGGACAGGGAGGAGCAAGGGCAGCCGCAGCCCCTGCCTCCGCCGGTACCGGTGAGCTGCCCTGCTGGGGCCGTGGCGGAGGGGAGCTTCCACCGGCCCCTGCCGTGATGGGGAGCGAGTCCTTCGCCCGGGGTAGGGCAGCTCCCGCGCCTACAGCGGGGCAGCGATGTTTAAATGCTGGCTGTGGGTTGAACAGACAAAGTTAATCTACGATTTATCGTAAGAGATGAGTAACGTGGGTGCTAGCATTTCTGTAGATACCAGCAGCCGCTGTGTCGTTTGTGCAATGCTTCTCCTTCGAGAGGGTTTGTTTTTTTTTATGTGAGGCCAGTACTCTGTCAATTTATGAAAGAGGAGCTCCACTGTTACAAATTAAAATATGTAGTAAAATTGAATTTAGTTGCATCTCTTAGGCAAGGTAGCAGAATTGGCCCGTGCCTACACCACCCCCGCAACTAGGAATGTTTCGAAGCAGCTGGGCTGCGAGATAGGTTTATTTCACGGGAATGAGACACAACTGTGCAAACGGCGCAGCGCGGGCCGGCGCAGGGAGGCCACGGCAGCACAAAGCCGCGATGGCGCAGAGCGGGGCCGGACACGTG